AACTGTCAAAAAATAGCTATGTGCAAATGAGATGCTAAAATGAATGGCATAGAAAGATAAATTTATCGTTTGTATTTAGGCTTTAGATGTAGTTACTATGAAACTTTGCTCAGGCTGTTCATTGTTTCCCTCTTCATTTATTACGTTATTTAACACAAGCTGATTGATCCATTTGACTGCAGCAAAATGCTCGGGTGCCCCAATTTGGAAAGTGGGAGAATGATGGCAGTGTTCCCTATACACAATATTTTGAGAATGCCCGAAAAGGAAAGAATGCAACAAAGCTGTTCAATCCAAATGATCCCCTTCAAAATCCAGAAGCGTTTCAACAGGAGGGTCCTCTAATTCATACCTATCCACCATCCAGTCAAGGATCGGCAAAGGCGAAACATGAGCGACGAAAGAGTCGAGAAGATGCTGACAGGAACCAAGCTTCAAAATACACGAGTGCAGAAGCCTTGCCATCTCACAAGCTTGTCTCAGGTTCACCAAACAGGCGTCATGATCAAGGAAATTTGGGTCATCCCCCTAGGAAGCAAAGTCAGAGTAATGTCGAATCTGATCACAGCACCGACCGCTCTCCTGTTCATCCTCATCTTCATTACAGATCATCAAGCAAAGGTACGATTTCTTCTCCTTCTAGAGAAAGGAGATCCTCATCAGATAAGCATGGACTTGCTCCCAACACTCCAGGAAGGACTAAAATGAAGCCTAGTGATCGCAACGATTATTCGGTAAATTGGCACCTTTTTTTCAATCACATTCATATTAACATATTAGCAAAAACTGCAACTCTGGTGATATTATAAGCTCACATTTGATGCCACTTTGATTCAATCAGGTTGATAAAGGCTCGGCTGTGCCAAAATTTGGTGAATGGGATGTGATGGATCCTGCATCAGCTGATAGCTACAGTTACATATTTAACCAAGTGAGGGAGGAGAAACATAGTGGTTCTACTAAGATCCCTTCGAATTCCCGTGAGTCAAAATCCAACGGTCAAAAGAAAAGGGTCAACTCTGAATCCACGGTAAGTTTATCCCATTCCTCCCTAAATTAGGAGAGGTAACATTCATTTTAGCCAAGATCCTTACCATGGAATGCCTAGAAAAATGGTTGATAGTGG